CACCTACCTGTGAATTGCCTTCCTTCCCTTTGAAAGCCCTGACTCTCCCTGCCCACAACATCTTTTGTCTTTAGCTGAAGATGGTATTTAAGGTGAGGGCTTTGGCCATTTTGGCAAGTTACTCAGTTTTCCTGGGTTTGTCTCATGTATACTCATTATTAAACTTTTGTTTTTCTCCTAATCTGTCTCATGTCAATTTAATTCTTAGACCAGCCAGAAGAACCCAGAAGGGTAGAGGAAAATTTCTTTCTCCTCTACAGTACTTACACAAACCTAGACGGTATAGCCTACTACATACCAGGCTATATGGTATTAATCTTACGGGACCACCATTGTATATTCAGTCTGTCATTGACTGAAACGTCATTATGCAGTGCATGACTGTAGTGGTTATCTATTAAGCAGTGAATGGGCCTGGGAAGTGATTAAAAGAAATTAAGACACTACAGATAATGAGATCATACTCATATTTTACTTGAGTAATTAAAAATAAAATTTTTAAAAAGAAAAAAATGTATGGATGCAATAATTACAAATGTGAAACATGCACATAAAATAAGACTAAAAAATGCACAATCATAAAAGTAATTGTATAAGCGTGGTGGAATGTTTTTTAATATATTACTCCTATATTTTAACAATGAAGCTTAAAATATGCAAATTAACGAGATAGTATTTTTTGCAATTTGGGGCAAAGATTAATTTTAACAATAATACCTAATGTCGGCAAAGGTGTAAGGAAATGAGTACTCTCAAATTTTACTGATGAAAGTGTACACTGGTATCACCTACCTCTGCAATTTGGGAATATTTAGTCAAAATTTTAAAAATATATAGTAGGCCCCTTATCCACAGTTGCACTTTCTGTGGTTTCAGTTACCCAAGGTCAACCGTGGTTCAAAAATATTAAATGGAAAACTCCAGAAAGAAACAATTTGTAAGTTTTAAATTGTGCACGTACTGAGTAGCATGATGAAATCTTGTACTGAGTAGCATGATGAAATCTTGCACGGTCCCCCTCCATCCCACTGGGATGTGAATCATCCCTTTGTCCAGGGTATCCACAATGTATACACCACCTGCCTATTAGTCACTGAGTAGCCAGCTCGGTTATCAGAGCGACTGTTGTGGTATCGCAGTGCTTGTGTTCAAGTAACCCTTATTTTACTTAATAATGGCCCCAAAGTGCAAGAGTAGTGATACTGGCAATTCGAATATCCCAAAGAGAAGCTGTAAAGTGCTCCCTCTAAGTGAAAAGGTGAAAGTTCTCGACTTAATAAGGAAAGGAAAAAAATCGTGTGCTGAGTTTGCTAAGATCTACAGCAAGAATGAATTTTTTATCCATGAAACTGTGAAGAAGGAAAAAGAAATTCGTGCTAGTTTTGCTGTCACATCTCAAATATGTGTGTACATATAGTAAAAAACATAGTATATATAGCGTTCAGTACTATCTGTGGTTTCAGGCATCTACTGGGGGTCTTGGAAGGTGTCCCCTGCAGGTAAGGAGAGCCTACTGTATGTACTGACTACTTGTAGGAATCACATCCTCCTCCTTCCTCCCTAGACGTCAGTCACTCTCCTGACTTTTATAATATTAATTTCCTTGCTTTCTAAATATTTTTGCCACTTATATATGCAACCTGTGTTAGTTATAGCAGGTTAAACTACTATAACAAAAAGAATATAATGGCTCAAACACAACAGAAATTTAACTCTCTGTGAGGGTGGGCATTGTGAGTTGCCAGGGGGCAACACTATCAAGAAACTCAGGCTGATGGTGGCTCTGCCATTTCCAATGTGACTTCAAATACTGCTCTGATGATTGCCATCCTACCCCAGGGAAGAGGAAAAGAGCACTGAGAAGCATGTGTGGGAGGTTTTAGGAACCAGGTGTGAAAATGGCAGACAACAATCCCACTCCATACTACTGAAGAAAACTTGTCACATGTGCACACCTAACTGTGAGAAAGGCTGGGAAATGAGGTACAGGTGGGCAGTCTGCACCCAACTACCATTCCATTATTATGGAAGAAGGAAAGAACAGATTTTGGTGGACAGAGAGTAATGCCATATATCTCTAAACAATATGGCTGAGTTTCACCCATTTTTGAACTTTTAATGAATGGAAACATACTATGTGATTCTTTTGTATCTGGCTTCTTTTGTTTGTGTTTATGCTCTTTGGACAAAACTGTCTTGAACAATGTGTTCAGAGAATATGGTAGAGAAAGAAATGCTCAGTTGTGCTACCTGAGCTGTACAGTCCCAGGACTACAACTTCACCAGAAAAATCACACCTTCTAGACTCCGTTTCCTCACACACAAATAAGGAGCTGATTAATGTGCTCTCTTAATCTGTGATCAACCATGCTACCCACTCATCTTTAGTTAAATGTTATCTCCACAGCTTTTATATCATGAATTTGCACTGAATTTTCACTCATTTTCACCCAGCACTCCCTCTCCAGAGACTGATAACTAGCATTTGCATAATGGCTGCTTAGAGTACCAGGCACCTTTTATATCCTGCAAACACAGCAACATTAACTGGTTTGAACTTAGGCCCTATGACCCTGGCCTCATTAACACTATATTCTAACTAAGTTAACTCACCAAAAACTCTACACATGAAATATTTAAAGCTGATTACTAAGCTATTTACTTTAAAGAGAATACTTCAAAAACATCTTTCCTTCTGTTAACAGTGGTTGTCTCTGGATTCAGGAATGGGTGGTTGGAGGAGCAAGGTGAGAGGGAAGCACACTTTTTGTGATAGTTTTAAGATATGTGCACAAATTCTGATACTCCTCACTTCAAAAGGTGGGGCCTAATTCCACTCTCTATAGTGTGAGCTGTATTTGGTGGCTCACTTCTAATAAAGAGACAGCGAAAAATGAAAGAGAAAGCGGTGCAAATGACAGTGACTTACGAGGCTAGGTCATAAAAAACACTGAGGCCTCCGTGTGTGTGTGTGTGTGTGTGTGTGTGTAATCACTGAGAGAAGCTAGCTGCCATGTCATGGAAACACTTAGGCAGCCCTGTAGAGAAGTCTACATAGGAAGTAACCGAAAGCTAAAGCTGGTGAGGAACTGAGACCGTCTACCAACAGCCAGATGTGTGAGCTGGAAGTGAATCTTCCAGCCCCACTCAAGCCTTCAGATGACTACAGTTTCAACCAACAGAGTGACTACAATCTCATGAGACCCAAGCCAGAACCATCCAGCTAAACTATTCATGGATTTCTGACCCACAGAAACTGTATGAGATAATAAATATTTATTATCATTTTAAGTCACTAAGTTTTGAGGCAATTTGTTACATGGCCAATAGATAACTAATACACTTATCAATATATATATTTTTTTACCTTTTGTTTTTGGTGCCATATACATATATTGCCTATTTTCAAAAATAATTAGCTTTAAAAACCTTTTTCCCAAACATAATTTTCTCACTCAAATTATACTAGCTTCTCTAAATTAATAGAGCTCACTTTTGGAAATGTTCTCTCTTAAAGATCCCCCCAAAATATAATAAGTACTACAAATTGGTACTCTTTAGACTCTACTAGAAATATCCTTTTAAGGGTATATTAAGATCCTAAGCACGCTATAATTTATCAAGTGGTGGTAGAAAAATTAATGGAATCAGTGCCAAAACTGTGCAATATAATTGAATGCAAATGTAATCTCAATGGTTAAAAAGGAGCTCATTGGCACTTTAAGGCTCAAGTTTCCTCCCAGAATGAAAATACATAATGAAGAACTCATGTTCAACCACCATCAGATAAAGAGCATGTTACTGTTCCAAGTTGCTGTTTTTTTAACCAAGTCTTACAGTGATAGAAGGGTATGTTCCTCAAATTATCTTAAAAGATTTTCCTCAGATTTAATTTCAATCTAGCAACTATTCTCCCTCCATGAACTAGCAAAGGAGAGAAATTAACGGAAATAAAACAAAATGAAACCAAACTTTTAAGGAACAACATGTCACAAAATACTGTCATGATGAAAAATTATAAATAAAATCTTTTGTGAAGTGCATTTAATAAAACTGGCTTGTGACATTATGTGACAAGAGTTCTATCAAGAAGTATACAAATTAAATCAATAATTTGAGACATGAGAGCAGGGAATCTCAGTAAACGGTATGCCTACATACACTAATAATTTAGTTATTAGTTCAATTGTTTGATAAGTGGGTCACATTAATTCAAAACTGTTAGGTGTTAAATGGCACTTACTAGTTGTATGACCTTGAACAAGTTATTTAACTTCTCTGTCTCAGTTTTCTCATCTGTAAAACGAGATAATAGTTCCTATAGCATAAAGTGGTTGTAATGAGTAAACTGGATAATTCATAAGCATAAAAGCACACAGTTAGCAGTGTTAGTAGACTATGCATATTTGGAAAGTAATATTCAGAAAATATCTGATTTTAATAAATCTAAATTTATTATTATAAAATCAATCTTTATTATTGAAGTGATGAGGTGAAAAACAGTTGATGGGGAAAAAAATGCACCAAGAGACAGTAAAAAAATTCTAGATTCAAAGCCCAGTAAATTCAACAATATACACACTCGACAGATATATTCATCAAATGTTAAGTCATATATAATAACGACCACCTACTTCTCAATATTCTTGAACTATCCAAAAGTTCATGGGCTTTATAAGGAACTTGAAAATATAATTGACACTAAAGCAAGATTTGATCAAGATTCTGGCAAAGGTATAAAATAATTATAGTAAGTCAGCAAAACACTAGAACAAAAAGAGCAAAAATAAAAAGGGAAGATATTTTTGGCTAATACTTCTAAGTCTCCCCTTAACCACTCCCTTCTCTTGTTTTTGTTGTTGTTTTTTTAACTACATTAGTTAACTGGCTTAAAAACAGCTTTTCATAAAATACTTTTAAAAAGCTGAAGACAGACAGAGTCACAAATGACCAACTAAAAAGTAGTTAACATATCCACAAAGCCACTGACAAATTCTTACCACCATAGAATCGCAGCATACAGCCGAGGTCGGGATTTGCTGCCTCCTCCTGTATGCGCACAGGGTCATCAAATCCCAGCCTGGACAAGTAATCATAAACCATCTGAAGAGGTCGTTCAGTAGGCTCCAGTCTCCTGCTTACACAATTCAAAAGAAAAATATTTAGTAAGTAATAAAAACGCCTCATTTAATTTTTGTAATCTTTTAACATGCTCCAGATTTTTATTTCTATATCAAGATTTTCTTTAATATCATACAATACAACTAATCTAAACGAGTGGTGCTCAAAGTTTTTCGTCTTAGGATCCCTCTAGAGTCTTTGCAGACCCCAAAGAGCTGTTGTTTACACAGGGTTTATCTACTGATATCTACTGAATGAGAAACTAAAATTAACCATTTCCAAATATTTATTCATTTTTAACAATAATAAACCCATTATATGTTAATATAAACAATATTTTTTGAAAAATATATTTTCCAAAATAAAACAAATTTAGTGAGGAGAATGGTACTGTTTTACATTTTTATAAATCTCTTTAATAGCTGGTTTAGTGGAAGACAGCTAGATTCTCGAATCTGCTTCTACATTCAATCTGAGGTGACAACATGCTATGTAGCCTCTAGAAAACTCCACTGTCCACTCATGAGAGACTGAGAGGAAAAAAGAAAATTAACGTCTTATTATTATTATTGAATAGTTTTGACCTCAGTTACCTCTTCAAAGAGTCTCAGGGACCCCCCACAGGGTCCTTTGAGATTCTCAGTCCAAACTTAAAGGCAGTGACATCATGAGAGATAAAAGATTATACTTGGCCATAACTGATTTCATATAAGCTGCACACACAATTCGAGATGTTGACTTTGGATGCCTACTATGTTCCAGGTACTATATTTTTCCACTGGCTTCATAGATGATTCTTCCATAAAAACTAGGAATGAATGGCCCAATAATTCTCCAGAAATCATTCTACTACATGGTCCTGACTGAAAGCTAGGGTAAAACCAGAATGTCTAGTAATCATTTGTGGCCTCTGGTGATACTGCATTTTTTACATCCTACAGACCTAAAATACTTAAAAATATTTAAAAACAAAATGATTGATGTGTATTTTAACAGCAGTTATCAATAATAACAGCAAGACAGCTCTTTGACAATTCTTTTACTAGAAAGCAAATAGTTATAACTACAGTGGCTAAGAGTATAGGCTTCAAAAGTCAGACTGTGTGTGTACAATGGCAATAACAATAGCACCTAACTCATAGAGTTGTTATTAAATTTATTTACTTACTACAACCAGATATTAAATAGAATGTAAAGTGTTTAGCAAAATATCTCACATTTAGTAGCATTCAATAACATACTGACAATTATTATTCAAAAAATTCTTAGGACCGGAACCAAATTTTAATCACAATAAAAATATCTACCCCATCTCAAACAACAGCCAAAAAACAAGTAAAGGAAAGCCTATGTGTGTTCAAAAGATCTTGAAGAACGTTAGTCTTTAAGTCTTAGAAGAATTCTGTTTAGAAAACTTAAGAATTGTATTAATTAGAAGAAATACGATACACCTTGCACCATGGCAAAAAGATATGAAAGACGTATGTGTTTTGTGGTTAAAGGACTAGAAAATACTGTTGGCAATAAGATTTAAGTATGAAATGGGAATACTACGCAAAGCTGAATATAAACAACTGTAATTTAGGAATGGAAATCATACCAATGAGCAAAAAAAAAACAAAAATAAAACAACCACCTGGCCCCTCCTGACTGCTCAGGTTAGACTTTTAGCCTCCATAAACTCAGAACTACTACATGGAAAAGGACCAAAGAACTAAAAGCCTACAAAGACCAATAAATATTGAATTTAATAGAAACGGAAAATAAACTTTCCAGAACAAAAACATCAGTTACAATTAATCTCTAGTCAAATAAAATAAAAATTCACAAAGGGCTATGACAACATTAGGCATTTTCCCAGTACAATGGTAGAAGTCTTCTAAGAAGGAAGCATTTTAAGAGGGACTCCTGATAAACTGCATACTGGAGGGGTCAATTATCTATGTAATATGAAGACTGACTCAAGGATTAACTTGAAGACAAGGAGACCAAGGGCATAAGGAGCTATCTATATCTTCCACTGTTAAGAAGGATTAGATTTACTCGGGATTGCTCCAAAGAATGGGACTAGGAACAATGAGAAGAAATTGCACAGGTAAATTTGGATTAAAAATGAGGAAGAACCTTAGTAATTAGTGATACCCAATAATGAAACAGACTGCCTCTCAAAATAGCTCACAGAGAGCTAGAGAGCCATCTGTCCCAGATATTTTAGAAGAGACTCCTCTAAGAATCAAGTTGGGCCAGATGATCTTTAGGGTCTTTTAGAACTCAAGAGTCCATGAAGTATCCAAGACACCTTCCTAATATAATGTAAATTCTTACCTGAACCCTGCTATTATTTTCACATACAGAGTTCAATGCATGTATTTAAATATTATCATTCCATATAATGATCACAGATTAAGTACCAAGAAATAATACATTCAGGCCAAATCTCACTAGCTCGGTTTTTCAATTTCTCTCTAGAAAACCAAGAGAAATGGAAGCACTCTAATTCTGACATATTTTATATGACCAAATTTCCTTTCCTAAAAAGGCTCTATAGATTTTGAAACCCTCTCTACACATTTCCGCCTAAAGAAAGTATTTTCCCTGATGGGAGGAAAAAAAATCAAGAGAATATCAACATCTGCTCTTATTAATTTAGCATAAATGAGTAAACAAGAAATATTTCAAGAACTGCAAAAACAAGTAAAACGAGGGACTAATTCCATTTACTCATTAAACTCATCTGCTTAAGGGAATAGAAAGTATGGGGGAGGGAAATGCTGTAATATGCTTACAGATCAATTTTGTGTTTCAAAGGTCCAAAAGTTTAACAGGCTGGTAATTAGCTATTTGTTAAATCTCTCACAAATCAAAGGAAAATTATATACTGCAAAACAGGTATAGGAGAGAGTAATGTTGGCAATGAAAAGTTCCGTTCAACATTTAAAATACTTCTACTACTGCTTGAAGGAGAGACAATAAGATTACTATAATAGTTTCAGTTTGCTTCTAAGGCTTCTAGGAGCTACTATAGTCCTTGTAAATCTCAATGTACATACACATGGTTATTTCTCTCCAAACCAGTCATCCAATATAGTAATGCTATCAACAGTGGTTTAAAAAGCTCTTAGCCAAGAGCAGTAGCCAAAGTTATTCTAAACAGTGCCCATAGTTAAGATACATGTAAGAGAAGAGTAGATTTCATTCCAAGTATCATTTCACAAAAATTCTAGTTAAGAGGGGAAGGCAAAAGTACATTATTAAAACCCAACACAAGGAATAATACATTGTATCAAAGACCCTAACAAAGCACAGCAGCATTCTCTATATCTTAGATTAAAACTCAATCCCTCCCACCTATAAAGGTAAAATCTGCAAATGATAAAACCAACAATACAGATAATAATATTTTTTTTTATAATTTTATTTATTTATTTATTTTCCCCCCAAAGCCCCAGTAGATAGTTGTATGTCATAGCTGCACGTCCTTCTAGCTGCTGTATGTAGGACGCAGCCTCAGCATGGCCGGAGAAGCGGTGCGTCAGCGCACACCCGGGATCCGAACCCCGGGACGCCAGCAGCGGAGCGCGCGCACTTAACCGCTAAGCCATGGGGTCGGCCCAGTACAGATAATAATATAAACAGCAACAAAAAGGATACCTCAATGCATGTCTATTCCATGCCTGACACTATGCTGGAAGTGTTTTACATTCTACAAATCTATACCTGTTTTGTAAATAAGAAAAATGAGGTTCACAGTCACACAATTAGTACATAAGGGCATCAAGGTTTGAATCTGTGTTAGTTTCATTACAAAGCCTAGCTTCTTTTAGGTAAGCCACATTATTTTATATAGTTAAAATAATTTACACAGAAGAGAGCTCAAAGCACTTCATATGTACTCACACCAAGGAACCTAAAAAGTTATGTTTTAAAATTACTGTATTTCATTAGTCTAATACACCATCATTTGAAAAATACACTATTTTTATGCATCACTGTTGCATAATAAAGAATCTTAGTAGTCACATCGCTGGTTCCTGGGAGGGAGACTCTAAATCCTTGGAATTTCCTGAGTAATGGGAGTGTCTTGTTATTCATGAGCCCCTTGGACCAACCCTGAGTTTATGCTAAGGGTTCAGATGACTCAGGATGGGGCCTGGTCACCAAAAAGATCAACCATGTGAAGAGAAGGTTGGGGCCTGGAGCCAGTCTGACCTTGGGGGAAGAGAGGCTGGACCTCCTCCAGCCTCCTCCCACCTTGGGGCTGGAGACTGAGTTCAAGCACGCAGTCAGTGATTCAATCAATCAAGCCTATCCAACAAAACCCCAATGAAAGCTCTGTATTGAAGTTCTGTGGAGCTCCCTGGTGGATGAAGACATTTACGTGCTGGGAGGGTGACACGGGGAGAGGGCATGGAAATCCCATGTTCAGGACTCTGCCAGACCTCGCCTTATGTGTCTCTTCATTTGGCTAGTCCTGATTTGTATCCTTTATACTAAAACTAATTTTAAGTATAGCGTTTTCTTGAGTTCTGTGTCATTCTAGTGAATTATTGAAATTGAAGGGGTCACAGGAACCCCCAAATTCGTATCCAGTTGGTCAGAGGTGCGGCCAGAGTCTGAAGTAAGGGCAGTCTTGTTAGGGACCATGCCCTTTAAATTATGAAATCTGGGCAAACTCTAGATGGTTAGTGTCAGAATTGTATTGCAGTAAACCAGATGGTATTGTAATAACCAATAGGAAAGAAAAAACACTGCCAATTAAACTATGATCCACAAACAACTGTAAGATACAAGCTGATTTCAGAAGTATTAAAATGTAAAAACGAAGTATTAAAATGTAAAAACGAAAGAAAAATTAATAAAAACAAATTACTTAATGCATAACACATTCTTTTAAAGTTTTAAAATAGTACGGAAATACGAAGCACAAAACAAAAAAAAATCTGTTCTTTCCTTCCTCAGAGGTAATCAGTTCAGTATGTATCCTGAAACAAGATTTTTCATTCTACTTTTATA